TTGATATTTCAGGAATATTACAATTTACAAATTCAATTTCTGCACGACAACGATGGGCTCGGAGTCACGATTTGAGATCATCCGTAATCAGTCATGTTTATAAAGAGTTAGATTTACTAAAAGAACAAGATGTTACAGCTGAACTCAACAATCACAATATCAAACATAGTATCAATCAATTACAATAATTTATCGAGACTTTCGATGTTTTTATTAACCCATTTGACGTAGGAGTACCAAAGGAGTTGTTAATAAATATTTCATCGGGCAAAGCCGCATCAGAGCCTGTTGAACAATTTCTTCTTAATATTGAAAAAAATGGAGAAATTTAACCCAAATTGTTTATTGAAGAATGTGAAGCAGATATAAATATATTTGAAAAGAGCATTAAAAGAACACCGTTACTCAATTTTTCTCAAGATTATTTGAAGAAGCAGAAAACAAAAGTTGCTGGTAAAATTCAAGAAGTGCGTGTTCAAAGAGATTTATTTGGACGTATGCTTAGCATATCTATGGATCATAAAATCGACATATCGAAAATTTTATCTTATCCTATAACTCCAGTGCCATTATCCATGTACCATTTTGATGGTGCCATTTATACAACTCAAAAATCTGCTTTAATGAAATCATTAGAGAGAAATATCAAACATCATCCACCATTATACTTGATGTATTAATTATTGACGGTATTTTTCTACTTCATACAATGAAAAGTGTGCCTAATACCTTTGGAAATATTTCCAAGGAAATGTTACAAATGGTAACACAATTAAATGCAAGTACATATGAAGTAATTTTCGATCAGTATTTTACACCCTCCATCAAAAATTATGAGAGATTACTACGACAGGAATGTACACAACTTGATTTTACTATAACCGGACCTGATCAAGTTCGACCTGCTGATTTTGCTAAAGAATTAAAAAACTCACGGTTTAAAGAAGAACTTGTCGACTTTTTTATTCTTTCTGCACTGGGCAAGTAATGAGATGATACCATTTATTGGCAATAAGCAGATTAATGTTAATTTCAGGCAATGTCATTATTTTATTGTCAATAATAATATGATAGAAGCTAATATAAATGAAGAATTATCGCGTCCACAGCACGAAGAAGCTGACACGAAAATAATTTATCATCTGTGCAACATTAATACCCAGGCAAACATTGTAGTTAAATGTTCTGATACTGACATTGCAGTAATAATGCTAGGAAATATGCATCACATGAAACATGATAATTCACACGTTTGGATATTAACTGGTATTGGAAATAAGCAAAGATATGTAGAAATAACAAAAATCTATGAGCACTTGGGATCAACTCTATGTAGAAGTTTGCCAACTCTATGTAGAAGTTTGCTTTCACAGGGTGTGACTATAACCCTGCTTTCTTCAATAGAGGAAAACAAAGACCTTTCAATATATTGAAAAAAAAATGTAGAATATCAACAAGCGTTTCTCCAATTCGGTTAAGAAGAATTATTTACGGATTATGACACAAAACAAAAAGTATTCGATGTAATACAAAAATTTATTTGCGATGTTTACAATGTTCCCGGGATAATCGATGTGGATGCTGTCAGACTTCAACTTTTCATTATTACTTACACAGTATCTGACATGAGTGAAGAAATAATAGGAAAAGCGTGAGAAACTTTGATTCATGTAATTTACCACCCTGTAAAAGTGAACTATTCCAACAATTCTGTCGAGCAAACTACATCGCAAGTATATGGAATAATGCACATACACAAAATTTACCTGATTTCAGTCTAGAGAATAATGGGTGGGCATTGGATGAGAACCAATATCAATTTTACTGGTTCGATGGTGATCAGTTACCAAGTTCTGTCAGTGAATTACTCGAAAATGAATCAGATATGTTAAGTTCACATCAAATTCATTTTTTATATGCACAGCAATCCATACCTTCAATAATGTTTTTTGTATTTTCAGAAGATTCGAACAAAGATAAAAACGATGATGACGACTTGAATATTGAAATTCAGGATTGGTTCGAGGATGAAAGTCGAAACTCATATGAAGCTAACTATGAAGATTGAGACTTAATTAAATAATAATGGAAGAAGATCATATTTTTACTGCATTTCTATATTTTTGTATAAATAGGTCTGTCAATATGAAATATTTATTTTTAATAATATTCTATGTTACATATATAAAAATCTGCACTTCGAATTTAACAAAAGTAAGTTATGTTTTGTCTACCTTTTCTACCTGCTACCTGTAAACGGGCCGCCTAGTCAAACTAGTTAGTACACACACACTCTTAAATACATAGAAGAGTGTCTATACCGTAAAATTCGTTACTTCAAAAATAAGTAACGTCTTGGGGCCTAGGGATCTTAGACTATACCTCACAGATACCCGACGGAAAAACACAAACTAACTCAGCTAATACCTTGCAGAAAGCTGACGTAAAACCATCAGGCACTGTCCAATGTTTTCCGTTTGGAAGATTCATCGCAAGTAACTTCCTAAACTTTTTTTACCGGAACTTGGGCATATCCGGAATATAATTGGGGTGGAAAGTTTCCATTGGCCACCCTATTCATTACAAATGAAAAACGCAGATAGCTTGTTCAATCCTTGGTTATTAAAAATATTACAGTACCTTTCAAACAAGACAGACAAAAAATTCATATAATCTGTATTTTTGAATGAAGGATCGTCCATTTCATCAAAACCTTCAATTGTTTCAAGTAATGAGTCTCAATGTATTGCTTTTTCCATATTATATTTCCACAAATTCATTCAATTCTATCAAAAGTGTTCTTAATTCAATTTAGTATAATCACTGACTACTGAATTATATTGCAGATAACTTACGGTCGGGGAGTTCTAGTGAAAACCAAATCGAAACTATCGTAATCGCCTGCGGTATCTTTCTCTTGTAACTCTTTTTCATTTATAATGATGCCACTTTTTGGTTTCTTCAGCTCCAATTCCTCATCCGTCTGTGGATAGGGATACAACCAAAGAAGTTTCATCGATAAATGTACGTAAAGACATTCATACGCTTATTTGATTCACTGTCAAGCATAGGAATCTTGTTAAAATTCACAATATGAAAAACATCTGGAAGAAGAAAGAAAGCAATTCATCTCAAAATGAATGCTACCATTCATCTCCAAGTTGACCTGAAGATCAGATGAAGATGAAGATCAAGATCAAGCTGAATCAACATCCGGCACCTATGGCAGTGGCAGATAACAGCCACTATTAATGTCAATTGTCCATCTTGACCAGGGGTTCCCAACCTTTTTGCACCTGCTTACTGTTCAAGATCAAGTTGAATTGACATCCAACACCTATGGCAGTGGCAGATGACAGCCACTGTTAATGTCAATTGTCTATCTGGACCAGTGGTTCCCAACCTTTTTGCACCTGCGTACTGTTCAAGATCAAGCTGAATTAACATCCAGCACCTATGGAAGTGGCAGATAACAGCCACTATTGATGTCAATTGTCTATATAGACTAGGTGTTACCAACGTTTTTGCACATGCGTAATAATTGACTTTTTGAAAAATTTTCGCATACCACCACACCTAAATATTTTAATGAACGTATAATATTTACTTTTATGAAAGTGTTCAAAGGCTTTCTGAATTAAATTTCCGAGAAAACTTTATATTTGATGGTTAGATATTTGTTTATTTAAACATGTTAATAATGAACGGGAAATGGTTTTGATTTTTAGTTATATTTATCACCCATAGATCTTAAAACTTGGCACAAACTCAGGAAAAAAAGTATCATCATACAAAATTTACTTTCATAGTCTTCAGTGAGGAAATTGTTATTGTTTGCCTGTGATTGAAATATCAACATTAAGAGTGATGGAAGTCATCTTCACTGTTGAGTCTTCTTCAACAATTATTCTGCTTCCATGTTTATTTTTTATGTACAAGAGTTCAAAAAATCCACTCTCACACAAGTGAGAGTGGATTTTTTCGGATCGTAACAACGTATCCGAAACGTATCGTTCGGATCGTAACAAATGGTATCAAAAATAGCAGAGCTTGCTGGAAAATCAAAGCCGAATTAAATAATCTTTCATTGAACTATTTTCTGTACAATTGATAAAACTTTCTTTAAGTTCCAATCCATTTGATGAGGTTCTCGAAAAAGGATTTCTGATCTAGTCCATTTTTGAATAATCTTTAGAGAAATACCTCATAAAGTTTTTTTGAAAGCCTTTCAAGTGAACAATGATATCTGTAACCACATCTGGCATTGGAGATACTTCGTTTTCTTCAAAAAAATGATGTTAGAGTGGAAAATGTAGGTAAATTTTTCTTCTATAATTTCATGAACTACAACTCATGATTTGATCTCCACAAAGTTTGTGGATATCAAATCGTGAGTTGTAGTAGAAGTGAGTTGTAGAAGGATTTTCATCAAGTAACGGCCGAATCAATCAGAAAAACTCTTCTCCTGCATTTGTGAACAAAACAGGACCAACTTTTCTCGAAGGAGTTCATTTTGTCACTGGTTGTAAAAGCTTTGTTTGATGCCAGAAGTCACAAGTTCAGTGTGTTGTGTTTGTCCAAAATGTTGGCTAGATGAGCCAATCTTGACAACCATTCTTCATCAACAAACCATTTTTTCATGTCATGTTTTATTTCACTCAAAACATGAAATCTTCTGATCTCATTTCAAAGAGATGGTTCAGAATTTTCCCCCAAGATAACCACCACACTTCTGTATGCAGGAGTGGAGTCTTGAACTTGCCATCCATTTCTTCACACATCAAGGAAAATAATCTTGTGTTTAGAGTCCTGGCCTTTATGAAGTTAATAACTTTCACAGCATCTGATAGATCGGAGTTGATTCTCCGGCATACCTTCAGCAGCTAATGCTTCTCGATGGATGACACAATGCGTACTTTTGCACTCAGGAGCAACTTCTTCATTTCAGCTGCTAGCCCTGTCATAGACAGGGCTTTACCAGACATAGCTTTTGCCCCATCTATACACAAGCCAATACATTTTGACCAGGGAATGCCTACTTTGACCACATACTAAAAACAAGCAGCTGCGTTATGTTTGTAACATCGGTGCTGTCGTCAACTTGAAGTGCAAAACAAGTGCATTCTTGTTAAAGCTAGATGTTCCTTAATATTATTAGACATATTGACAATTTGTCTCTTTACTGAGTTTTTTGACAGTGGCATTTTTTGAATTTTATTGGCTGCCTTTTCTCCTAACACGGCTTGGACCATATCCATAGAGGCCGGCACTGAAAGCGTCTCACCGATTGAACGAGACTCTCCATCTTCGCAACTCTTAAATTAACAAGGCATGACGCCCTTATTAAGTTAGTGTCAGTATTGGATATTACTGGACTTTTATCCCAACACCAAACCGTTATTTTAACACCTCGACACGTGTTTCGATCGAAGAAAGAAATCCATCGTTTGAAGAAGTTTTTCAATACTGATATTTTTGATGCTCTGTTTGGAACCTTTGATGTAGTGAATATTACTGGAGTTTTTTCCCCAATACCAAACCGTTATTTCAATACCTCGACATAATGCTTCGATCACCAAGTGATCATCTTCAACAGGAAGATCAAACTAACAGGCAGTTAGTTTGATCTTCCTCTTGAAGATGATCCATTGGTGATCGAAACACGTGTCGAGGTATTAAAATAACTCCAGTAATATTCATTACTACACCAAAGGTTCCAAACAGTGCATCACAAGTACTTTGGTATAGAAATAAATATTAAGGTTAATAGAAGATTAATCTTTCTCTTGAAGATACTCAAGAGGAAACCGTTATTTTAACACCAAGTAAGAAAGATTAATTTTCCTCTTGAAGATGATCATTTGATGATCGGAACACGTGTCGAGGTGTTGAAATAACGGTTTGGTGTAGGGATAAAATTCCAGTAATATTCATTACTACACCAAAGGTTCCAAACAGTGCATCACTAGTATCAGTATTGACAAACTTCTTCAAACATTGGATTTCTTTCTTTAAAAAATTATATTTTCTATTAAAAAAATCATTTTGCTTATCAGTCAAATCAGGGTGCTTAGTATACTAATGTCGCATCAGTAAAGAAGGCTTTATGCTTTGTTTCGAAAGTGTTTCAAGACAACACACATACACACAACACATTAAGAAATAGGAATGTCACTGGTTTCAGTCCCTGGCTTCACTATAAAACTGTATTGTAAATAGCTTTCATCGTATTTACGATTGGCTAGTGATTTAGGTTTTTTAGTACAATCCTTTGGAGTAAAAGAGGACGTCAGAAATCTCTTCATAGTTCAGTTTTCTTAGACGAAATCACAATTAATTATCACAACACCCACAACGAACCATTACAACAGCATATAAACATTTCACAATCACTGGCCATATTGTGAGGCGGAAGAATGTACGCGTACCGCCGATTGGGAACCCCTGATCTAGCCACTTATTCTGAACTATTTTTTCTATATATTTACGTCCTGCGTGAATAAAATAATTTATAATGCGATGAATGTTTGAAAGACAAACTGGATAGAAAAAAGTTATTGGTGTACAATTCAAAGTTCATATGAAAGTAGTTGTTTTGAAACTACTTTTTCTTCCGTGAAATTCAAATATGAATGAATCGCCACCGAGACGGCGCTATCAACTTTTTTTTCAAACAAAGGGGTCCTTTAACATTTCGTATGAAAGGTATTTCCATTCTTCTGAAATGAATGTTCATTGGAAAGAGAAATCAATCAATAACATCTTTTGCAATAGGTAATTTTAACCCCTTTATTTTTCTCTCATACTTGAAAAAAAATCATTTGAACTGATTCACACAATGTTTTCCTTGAACCAACTGATAGTAAAACAGTCTATTTTCGAACTCATTCCAAACTTTTGGAAATGTTTTTGGGGTAATGTTAACACAAGTTTAGGTAATTCCATCTCTAACTTCCCGTATCGCATAGGTTGTGAGAACTCTCTAATAAATATAGCTCCAGAGGAAAAAATCGATAGGAGTCAAATCCGGTGAACGAGCAGGTCATTTCAATGGAATAGGTCCTCCAATCCACATGCATATTCAAACAAACATCTTGTTGAAAAACAACTGGATTTTCGAATTGATGTTGATTATAGCCATAATTTCTTGAATCCGTAGGTGAATGACAAGAAGTTTACAAATATAAATAACTAGTCAGATTTTCTGCTGAATATATGGGACCAACAATATGATGTTCCCATATAACTACCCAAACATTTATTTTCTCAAGAGTTTGTGTGGGATCGTCTCAAAATATTCAAAGGTAAATATTTGACCGATATCACGCATTTTGGAGATTGACATTTCCGTTGAAGAAAAAAATTAATTCGCCACGTAAACAAATACTCTTCATGCAGTTTCTATTTGCAATGAAACGTTCGCACATCAACTCATAAAACCGCATTCTTCTGCCTGGGTCATCATCCTTCAATTCCAGTTATATTTCAGTTATTAAGTGTCACACTTATGTCTTCTGAAGTATTTCCTGACGATAGTTGTTGAGGCATCATTTCTACGAGCAACTGCAGGGAGTTATTTACTACATACTGTTTCTCTCTGAGATAGATTTTCTGCGAGTTCCTCTAGTTCTAAGTATATTTCCAGTGGTTGAAATATTTCGACCAATTTCCTGAGATATCTTCTACACATCGCATCACTTTGATATCTTGCTTTCTGCCCCATAATTCATTTTCGTGAAAAATTTCTTTTTTAAACTTATTACAAATTTTGATAACTCTGATAACTAATTTTGGAGCTACTTCGACCCTCTTTTAGCGAAGTATAAAAAAAAACCCTTTCGATTTGAAAAAAGTCGAAAGCACCCTCTCTACAGCGAGTCATGTTACACCATTGGATTCTTTAAATCAACAGTACCAAAAATGTCTCCCTTTCATACAAATCAAGTCCAGCTTTGATATCTTGCTTCAAGCAAAAGTTGAGAAGGTCTCAGCTATTTACGTCCTCACTGCAGATATCGAATTGAAGGGTTCTAGGGGAGAGAGAAATGGCTGGAAACATACATCGGAACCACCACAAAATCCATGGGAACAAGGCAGTAGAATATGGAAATCCATTCTAAGAAGTTCAAGAATAGCAAACAGCATGACAGGGCAGGTAGGAAAGGGTCAACGAATGTGATTGACAATCGACCAAATCCAGGTGCATGTATTATTACATCAGACTACCTGAATCAAAATAAACATTCTTCACGTAATTTACCAAAGCCAGGTAAAGGTATTAGCACACCAAACTATCTGAGGAGTCAACATAAATACGCATTACGCAGCTGTAATATCCAGTCATTGTAGATATTAACTAATCCTAAAGTTGGTATTTGAATTATGGATTGTAATACATAGTTCTGAGCCCCCAAAAAAGTCTTCGGTAGACATTTTCGATACTTTAATGTATGTTATGGAACTGGCCGATACTTGATGAGAATCCATATCATATTCAAGAAATACTTGAATTTTCACAGTTTTCAGCAGTTTTACAAAAACGCAACACGTGTTTCGCTATACAATAGCTTCTTCAGTCGTGTTGATACTTCAATGGTCTGAATGGTCTATAGTTCATGTCTTCAATGATCGTATGTCCAAAAGTTGATGCTTTTTTCAAGGACAAATCACAAGCACTACAAGAAAATCCTCAAAGCGCTCTCAGACCGGTAACTGTGCGAAAGTATCGATTCACATTGGATTCCATTGGATTCGAATCGCTGGAGATTAATTCCATTTGGAAAAACTTTTACAGGAAGTGGAGAACGCAGTTCTCCAGATGAAAGAGTTCTTAAACAGTGAAGTTCGAGGTGTACTGAGTTGAACCTCAAAACGATGAGCAGCCACAGTCCGTCGCGTATTTCTGATATGTATCCCTCTTGGTGGAATCAAATGTACCAAGTCACTTGAACACTTCCCGTGAAAGTATCTATAGAAGAGAGACAAATCTCCAACCTTTCTCCGATGTTCCAGGCTATCAAGGTTACACGTGATGTTCGCGTCTCCAATCAGGTGCAAATTCAGGGTATGTTTGGGGGCAGAGCTCCATACATGAGAACAATACTCCAAAGAAGGTCTGATTCGAGCTTCATAAAGCATATTGGTGTCCGTTTTAACCTCCAACAAACTTATCAAAGCAGAAAGCGGAATTGTCTGACCTGACATTATTATATCCGGTTTGAAGACATTTATCTTCTTGGAGAAAACCGATGCCTGGGTTTTTGTGGCATTGAATTGAACCTAGTTACTTTCACCCCAATTCGAAATTACTTCTAGATCCTCATTAAGATATACAACCTCCTGCTACCAGTGAAGACGCGCCTCCGTAGCCTGGAGTATCCTGGAATCCAAATGGAATGACGAGCCAAGAATGCTGTAGTCAGCAAAGCAATATATTGGATTATTGGTTTTTTCCAATAAGTTGCTAATGAGAAATGCCAACATCATGTAGCGAAATATCAAAAAAAAATAAGAATCGATGCGAGGCCGATATTCTTAAAACAATATTATCAATAAAAAGTAATATAGCAAAATGCACTTATGTTTTATCGTGATAAATTTCACTACTCACTTTCAAATTAACTTTTTTAGAAGAGCTTGGCTTTGGAACATCAACTGATCGGAACTTACAAAATTTTTTCGAAGTATTAGCTCTTCTCTTTTCGAAAAATTTCTGCACTCTCTTGGTCCTTCGCAAAATATATTCAGGTCTTGGTCCATATCCAGGATATTTTCCTTCATTGACATACTGAAGATCGATTCTTGTACTATGAACATAATGAAAAGAAAAAAGATTTAGGAATCACACGTTGAAAGGTAAGACCTCGTTAGTCCTTAGCTCGCACAAGTTTCTCAACTTCTGAGAGTTGTCGTTCGTATAGGGTGACAGCTGATTAAAGGAAAAATATATTTTTCAAACAGATTTTAAAAGTGTGACTCTAATTGAAAAATATAGTATCTCTCTTTTACCAATATGAAGGTAATTTAAATTTTGTGATATATAAAAATTAAAAAACCAAGAGAAATGCAGTTTGGATGAATAAAAGGTTGTAAGGAATTGAAAATTGATTTTTGATAGTTAGAAGAACTTATGGCGTGAAATATTGTCTTGAAAAGTGTTTTCATCGGTTTCAATAATAGTTGTTTTGTCTTGTGGATTTCTCACCTTACTGAAGGTTCAATTTTCGAACTCGTGATGCTGTCTTTCTTTGATGCAACGTTCCTCAATTTTCTGACAGCATCTTTCTTTTTTTGTTCTTTAACAGGATCTTTAGGGGATGTAGCTTTAGCAGACTCAAAAATACTTTGTTTAACTGAAGCCGAAATATTTGCTAATTCTTCATTCCTGAAAAAACCATGTGGAGTTACATTTTAAAAACATTGATGGATAAATTAACTCATTTTCCTTTTTGTTTTTATCTTCCGAAGTGATACTTCTCCTTCCAGAGCTCTTAGAAGATCTTTTCCCAGATGGTTTTTGTTTATCTTCTGATTCTAATTGTTTACCTTGTTTTTCTTTATCCATATTTTCACAAAAAATTTGTCCTCTTTGGAAAATGTATTGCTGGAGAAATTCGGAAAATTTATCTTTCGCGTTTTGACAGAAACAGATAATTTATTGTAGTGTCAACAGTCAACAAAAAAGTGACAACTCCTTTTCAGTGTATAGCAAAATTTCAGTGATATTTTCTCAAATTATCTAATGAAACAGCAAAACATGGCGTAAGTATTTCTTCTGTCGATGGAATTTTCTTTAACGTGAGTATTTCATTCGTATAGTTCTGCAAAAAAACGTCGGACGCCCAGAAAGACCAAAAAGCCCAAACCAAGGCCTAAGATTGAATATCCACCAGTTCCGACTAAAAAATGGATACCACCGGATAAAAGAGCAAAGAAACCTAAACCTCCACCTCTCTATACTAAACCGGAGGGAATCACACAGAAGTTGAAAATATCCAGTTTAAAAAAAATTTGGCATGACTACAGAATAATCGGACGTACTGCTATTCTACTTGGGAACTTCAGTCAGACACATAAGAAATATTCTTTCAAAACAAATGGTTATCAAGGTGAGTGATTATGTTTAATATAACTTGAGATTCCGGGCTGATAAGGAGTATAGGAAAAATTGTTGTTGAATATAGTTAACAGTATCTACAGTATCTATCATTACAATGGTCAATAGTGTTGTCACATGAACACGTTTTTTGTTTATGTTGGCCTACCCCCATTATAAATATATAATAATTTTGTTTCAATCACATCCAGTTTTTTGTGATAGCTATATTGAATGAATTCATTTAGGGGGCTATATAACTATTGCATCAGGTAACATACATCTTATTTTCGTTAGATACATCACAAATATGCAACGAAAGTGTTCTACTAACCCCATTAATTGAACAGTGCTATTAAGAATATTTTGGATTTAGTGTGCAGCATCAAGATAAATTCTGGGTCCCAGATAAAAGGCATTACAACAAAGTCCAAACTTACTATCCAGTATACAAACTTGTCTTCGGCCAACAGACCCATCCTACATAGCGCCGAACTGCATGTGCCGAAGCCTCTAAATCGATTCCAGTCCAGAAGAACTTGTTCGCATGAGGAATATGAAGATATTGACCCAAGTTATGAAACGCAAACTTCAAAAGAACCGCACTTATCGACACAAAGTTATTGAAACGAAAAAGTCACTATTAAAATAAAAGGTGGCTCAAGCGTGAGTCACTTACTCCGGGCCGTAAAAATGTTAAAAATAAGCCTCTCGTGAACCCTGATGACATACTTTTACCACCGTTGCACTCAGTCTGATGAAAAGATTTGTAAAAGCTATGCGCAAAGATGCAAAAATTAAAGGAAAAATATTTGTAGGCTAACAAATACGACAACTTATAAAAGATAAGAGCTCTAAAGAAAAACTAAATGATCAGGAAAAAATCGTCTGGAAATGTTTTGTGAGTCTGGTCTAAAATTTCCTAGAAAGTCATAAACGGAAAACACAAAGACTTAATAGAGGAACTAATAATGTCAGATGAAAATAAAAATACGTATGTTTGACTCTCATCTAGATTTGGGTGCTGTGAGTAACGAACAAGGGAAGAGATTCCATGAGGGCATTTACTTAATAGAGAAGCGTTATCAATGGAAATGGAGTCCAGGAATGCTAGCAGATTATTGTTGGAAACTCAGGAGGGACCTATCAGGAGACAAATATTCACGAAAATCATAAATATGTATTGTACATTAAGTAATAATGTCTCTGAGTGTAGTTGATTTTTGTAATTTTCACCAAAATATATGCTTTGATGTCAAGAGAAAACCTGTTGTGTCAATTATTTCTCATTGATACAATATTGGTTAGTAGCCCTAGTAGATTCAAAGTTCGATATAAGTTTTCATGTGACAAAAAACAGTTAAAATTTTGTTGACCAGTGTTACCATATTTGATCGAATGGGCGTGGTTTGACTATGAATAGGAAGCAAAATTGCAGATTCAATTCATTTATGATACTGCGGTGAGTGTTCTGTTCAATACATTCGAACGTTTTTTGAAAAAATATGAATGTTTACATTTCAAAAGTGATGATGAAGGTTCGTGGACTTGATGTTCTGTTTTTTACCCATCTGTACACAACACTAGGGCACCTGAGAAATAAAGACCTTTGGCTTTCACTTCACGATATTTATTCACTTTCCCCATATTTATACAAAAAAATGTGGGAAACTTTCAGAGGATTGACGAAAGCAATTATGTTTGAAGTGAACTCTTCGAAAAAATGTGTAGATCATGCATATAAAATACTTTCAGATATTTAAACTTGCTTTCTTTCTTCATTTGGAAGTTTCCCACATTTTTTTGTACAAATTAGGAGAAGTGAAAGCCAAAAGCTTTTTTCTTCAGCAACTTTAGATATTAAAAAGACCTAATGATGCTGTTTTGTGTGGAATATAACATAGGTAAAGTGCATCCGAAACGTCCAATTTCTCATGACTCTGGTTGAATTTGACCGATTGCATGATTTATGTTAGCTTTGAGGACCGATGTGGTTTGTGGCTTATTTGCATACACCTGCGACTTAGGAAAACCCCACAAGAAAAAGTATAACGGGTCAAATCACACCTTCAGGTGGAATGATCATGTCGTCAAATCACACGTCCGGAATATCCAATGTGGCATGAGCTGTGTGGCATGTAGCACCGTTCTGTTGTAACCACATCTTGCTGGTGTCCAGATAATCCAAATGAAGTTGGAAGTCATCGACCTATAGTGCTAGCTGTTGATAGTGATGGCCCGGCCAACGTCGTTGTCAAAGAAATATGGACTGATGACACCACCAGCCCAAAATCCATATCAAACAGTCACTTTTTCGGGATGCGTTGGACACTCATGTGGATTGGAATCGTTTCGAATTTTGTCTGTTCACGTATATATTTATCCAGAAATGGTCAAGAGCCCATTCAGGGAACACTCCTCTTCGTCTATGGCCGTTTACCTTCAGTTCCTTGGTCAATTGAAATTTGTACGGGTGCAGACCCAAGTCACGATGCAAAATTTGTTGTGGTCTGCGAAAGACTGACGCGAAATTTATCTTACCGGTTTTGCTTACTGGTACTTGCAAAAGAGGAAACATGAATCTAGAAAATACTGGGTACACCCATTTAATGTTTAATATCAAACACAGTTCGGCAGTGGTTTCCCGTGAGCTCTCTCAACATGAACAAAAATTTGGAGTTTTTTAGAATGAACTCAAATAGTTTCCATGTTTTATTGAGATTGGTGTCAAGGGAACTGGAGAAGCACATGTTCTTCTCCACCAATTTCACGAAGGAAATAGAGGATTGCACGTCTTCTTGCTGACCCGACATGAAAGTGTCGAACAATATCCTCTGTTCAAGTGACCCGTCAGCTGTGTCCCCCTCAACGACTCGACTCTGATAACTATCGGTGTAGTATCACGATCACTCCAGTGTGCACTAGATTAGTTACTTTCATTATGTATGCACGACTATGAGTGATCGGTTTCAAATCAGGATCGTATTGCGTATCGAATCACCTGTTGCATCGCTTATCGTATCGTTTCAGTGAGAACCACGCCTCAAAGCCAGCGGCGATGTTTTTGGCTGAAAGACGGGTGTTGGTCGACCGTACGAGTGGACTCAAATCATCCACCACATTGCGAATACTCCTCTCGGTAGGACGATTATGGCGACCGTAAAATGAGCGACGCGCGCGGTACGTTGTTCGAACGAAACACCCATTTTGATAAAAAAATTATTTGCACGTATTGTTCAATGCTATATCCGTCTATGGTAATTTGGCAAAACGAACTGAATGAATGACAACTAATTTGACAGGTGTAGCTTCAACAAGATGGCCGTTATTAATAATCAAAGTTCGAAAGTCTCTGTTGAAAGGCGCTATATTATTCATGAAAATGGTGTGTAATGTACTTCAACAAATGGAAGCGTACTGAAAAAACTATTTTTGTAAGAATTACTTCAACTCTGAATCTATGGTTTCGTTCACTGAAATATAAATCAATTCACCTACATAGAAATCATTACTGATGACAGAAGGTTTCTTCTCCGATAGTTTCTTATCAATAAAAAAATAATGAAATTTTTCATTTGTAAAACATTTCACACACTCATATGTAATGATCTGACAGTTATTGAAATATGATCAATTTCATCATTTGATCTTTTACGATCACTTTGCTTCTTGAATCTTCTACCACAAAATTTTTAGAAATATTTTCTGATTATCTTTCATTGCCATTTGGATTGTATTCAATAAAAGAAGCTAGGGAGAAATCTGTGGTATCAGGAAACTCAGTTATATCATACCAATTTTGTTGGGGAAACAATATTTCATAAAGACTTTGAGAAGGAGAAGTAGTGCCAAGAATGTATGCACCAATTTTTTTCTGAATTGCAATGCTAATTCGTTGTATCAAAAATGATCTTGCTCT